GGCGATAAGCTATAATTACTTTTGTTTAACGGCATCGTTAGTGGCGATGTGGGTGGCGACAATATCTCGCATGGCTCTAAGAGATCCTGTTCGGGTGAGAATAAGGACACCGCTGTCGCCTTTTTGGGACGTTGTCGCGAAGTGGGCGCTGTAGCCCGACCGATAACCGATTGTGCGCGCGACACGGTTGCCGCCGCACTGTTCGGCGAAATCGTGTGGTAGGCTTTGGAGGTGGCGGCGTATTTTTTGCTGCGTACAGTGCCACCGCTGGCACCCTTCAAAAGCGTGCGCGCCCAGTTGTTATTGTTAGGCTCAAATGCATGCGCATAAAAATCACTGTAGTACTCACTGCTGAAGGTTGACGCCGAAACGCTGGTGCTTTGTTTGCTATAATCCAATGGTTTATTGCCACTCCAGTCCACCACATCACGATTGGCTTCTGCGGGGGCGAAAAACCAAAAACGTGAAATTAATTTGATAATTTAAATGAAATCAGATGCAGTGGTGATAAGAAACAATAATTATATATGACTAAATAATGCGGAGGATCTATGTGTGTGTATGTATATAGTAAGTCACTTGTTACGAAAGTTGCATGCGTATACCCACCCTATTGATTTAAGTCTTATCTATTGAATATTCGACTGCTTCGGTGAGTCGATAATCGTTTTTGAACAAGCCGCCATAAAACCTTAAACACGAAAAATTCGTCAAACGAGCCCATTACGAGCCGAAATTCGAATACCTTTGATTCGTCCGCGCCAATATTGACTTCTTTCAAATGCCATATTTTATTAATTGCGCTATCCACCCTAAATTATACCAACTGATTATCATTTAATCATCACTCAAAATCACAGTCAACTACTATGTCAATATTGAAGCTATAATTGGGCAATTAAGCGAATTTCCGAAGGTTCTACACCAACAATGATTATCTAACAAAGTTACAAAAAAAGAATTGAACATTAATGATAAGAGTAGGGTTGCCTGATTCTGAAACGGAGAAAGGAGTACCATTTCCAAATTTTCTTTTTTTGGAGTACAAGGTAGTACATTGCAATAAAAAGGAGTACGTTTACTCCCAAAAGCAGTACGTCTGGCAACCCTAGATAAGAGGATAAGAGCGCATTATAAAATAGAATTGCCGGCGCAAGTCAATCGTTTTGTTCACAAAAATAATTTAAGTTATTGTAGATATTCAGAGCATGCCCATTGCTCATCAGTCAGTTATATTTGCTTGTGCGCTTATCACATTACACTGACAAATATAACTGATAATTATATAAATCCGAAATGTGTAGATATGAACATTTGTATATAGTAAATATTGATTGAAGCGCCAAATTATCGGTTATTGTAATTTAAAGGGCAAGGGCAACTATAGTCTTGGGCAGTCGTTTTTAAAGATGCCGAAACTACTCACAAGATAGTAATAATAGAATGAGTATTAATGAGTAATTAAGCAAAAATACAATTCGATTTAATTTTTTTTTACATTACAAATAGTTTTTCTTAACCTATGATTTGTACTTCTGATAACACTTTTATAAAACGCTACTTCAAAAAAAAGGGTATGGTTTAGATTTTGGAGGAAAAGTGTTCAAGACTGTTACCCAATCCCCATACGATATGTTCGATAACTCCGACCTAAATTCCGCTTTGACGAAATAAACTTGAAAAAAGGTGTGATGCGGACAACGGATAATAGGCGATTAGAAATACGACGTTGTTTTCTAGTTGAGTTTAGAAAGTTGTGGTTGTATACAATGTACATTGATAGCCGACTTTACCGTTAAAATACATACCATAAAATAGTTACCAGGAACTACGGTTTAAAATAAAAAGACGAGCGGCTCTTTGCGGTGCATAATGAAAAACGTTCCGGTTATGTAGACCCAACTGCCGTGGGAGCGACAGAATTGCACTTCTTACAGGTTTCGGCCCTAACAGGTTTCACCGTGTTTATTTTAATTAATTAACACTCCAATCTACGGTCAACTGGCATAAGCTGCGCAGACCGCGTAATTCTATTTTTTCTATTTTTTATTTTTTTTTTGTGTCACGAAAGGCAAGAATTTGATAAGTGATGAGATCTTCAACTTTTTTGCTATGTAACAAAATTTAGCAGCTAATCAAAAAATATTCTGGGATATCTTCTGACTCCAGAGAAAATTTAAATAGAATTGCTGATCAATTATTTTCAACACTGAGAAAATATCTTGAACGAATTTTCAGAACTCATAAATGGTATGACGGATATTTTCGTTTGAAAGAATCGTATCTTAAGACAGATATTAACCCTTCAGGAATTTTATGCAGCATACAAATCTGTGTTCGTATGGAAAAGAAGCTTATATCGAAAGGCTGGCTTTAGTATAAATTGGCATTCGCAGCATACGATTGCGAATGACTCATTGGCGCTGAGCCGTTGAAGAACTTTTGGCTAATAAACGCGCAAGAAATAGTTCCGATACTAGCAAATCAATATTCTTATTAAGTCTCATCAAAAAATTCGTAGTCGTTTAAAGAACAAAGGGAATGCCGCATTATACTAAAGCCAGCCTTTCGACATAAGCTACTGTTCCATACGAACACAGAAATATGTACACAATATGTATATGTATGTATGTATCAACTTAGCAAAATATTTGTATTTTCCAATTTAATTTTCGGATAAAATCTGGGTCTGCAAACTACGGGCCTGGGGAAAACACTAGTGTATTGAATTTTTGCATTATTTATAATGTTATGTTTTTTTTTTTTGCGTCACAAAGTTTTTAATACAACAGGGTTTAACAGTTTCTAATAAGTAAAATTTTAAAAACTTACTGTAAACATTGACGAGTAGCTCAAAAACATCAGCACGCCCAAATTGCATGGATATGTGTAATGGAGTGTAGCCCTGAAATGAAAAAAATTGAAGTAAAGTAAAACTAATTAAAAGCCACAACAGCAATTTTACAAAGGTAAAGGCTTTAAACTACAAATCACAAAACAATTGCAATAAATTAAAATTTCAACAAATTTAAAGCGTAACACGCCTGATAGTCAACCGGAATAAATTTTTGAGAAGCGCTACGAATTTCCCAATTACGTATGTATGTATATAAGGATGTATGTATGTATGTATCTTTCAGATACAGCAATGTGTGTATTAAAATGCATGTCCTTATGTCTTCGGTAAGAGATTGTCAATCAAGTTTGTAGCATTTTAAAATTTCACCGAAATTGACATTGTCTCGGCCGCTGTTGTGTAACATTTCATTTCATTTCATTTGTTGTAGCAGTTCGAAATCTGTTACACAACAATTGGCGTTATTTTCAATTTCACAGCGAATACGAAATTTTACGTTTTACAAGTGGCAAAAGACAAATATGCTTTGCACTTACAACCGCACACATACATAGTTATGTATGTATGTATGTATATAGCGAAAGTGGCAAGATGCTATTTTTTTCGAAATGCCTCCTGGGAGGTGTGAGTGCCAACAAAAAGGGTTGTGGCAACATCCTGCCACTTACATACCATATAAATATTGTATGTACGAGAATGTACATACATTTGTATGTGTGTAAATGTACACTTTCACTATAACTGTGTGGATAGGATTGAACAGCACATGTCACATTTGGTATTAAAACGCAGAGGATAGTGAGTGGAGTGACAGGCGCAACATTTCAATTGGAAATATTATGCATTTTTTGCACATTTTAAAATCGAAGACAAAAAGACAGACATGTTGTTTTATACAATATAATAAAATGTGACTTCATTTTGCATGAATTAATATGTCAATGTAACATAGAAATCGTACGTAAATAAAGACGTTGGCGATGGGAATGTTTGGTTAGGGGATTTTAATATTTAATGAGTTGCTAGTACAATTTTTTTTTAATAGGAGTCATAAACCCCGCGCACGCTAGCAGGATCTATTATGCGTGGCTCTCCGTCCTATATGGGAAGGTGTTTAATGTAGCCTAGCGCTTCCAAGGACTGTTTGTTTAAAATTTTTGACGCATTGAGTGTAGCCACGCCTAAGGGAGCTAATCTGCGAGTGTTCTGGCATTATTCGTTCATTTTACTGAGGTGATAACGAAGGGAGCAGTGTTCCGTGTAGTACCTAGTGAGATTTTTTTGGCCCTCTCTGCCTAAGTTAAGTAGTTTCTTTGAAGCCTCATTTAAAGGACAGATAAATCGTTTGGCTTGCCTCTGGCTTGGATATTTTGTCAACCCAGTTATTTATGATCCCCTTTGTGTGTGCTTTGTTGGTGAGCCCACAAAAGGATTCCGGACCGTGAAACACTGCGCTAGCTTCTTGTTTCGCTAGAAAGTCCGCCTCCTCATTGCTTCTTATCCCTCATGCCCGGTACCCATCCTGGTAAAACTGTGTTTTTGGCCCCTAGGGCGTTTAGGACATTTATATATGTATACGGTGACCATTCGTACCGATTTTGGCGGGACGGTACCGATTTTGAGAAAATTGTCCCGCGGAATATTTTTCTTACATCGGGACGTATAAGTGTACCGATTGTATCCCGATTTTCAGTGTTTTATGTATTAATTTAACAAGAGTCTCCCTGTACTCTGGCCCAAAAACCATCTTTTAGACAAACGTGGCAGCTCTTTCGTAATCACAAAGAACATAGTATGTAAGGGAGCTATAAACATAGTCAGCCTCCTTAATTTCTATGATCATTGGATATGTTTTATTCTGTCAAACTGGTATAATCTCGCTATATTGCAATCCATCATTTTTGTATAATTTTTTTTAAGGTTTTTAAAATTATTTGTTAAGTTTCTTCTTTAATTAAACGATTTAACTTGAATTTAGTGAAATCTTAAAAAAATACAATATAATAATAATATTTATAGTTTTACTTACGCCATTCTGTCCGTGGTGAGCAACAATTTGTCAGCAACAATTTGAAAAAAGCAGAATTAAAAATTAGTTAATAAATTAGAAATTGGGATATTTGCATGTATGTATGTAGGTACATATACTATTTATGTATGTACATTAGGGTGATCCTAAAATGAATTTGAAAAAGTATAGTCGGAATTTTTATGCTCTCACCCGCTAGGATTGTTCCATACCTAAAAAATATACCCCTACTTTTTATTTTGAAATCAAAATAATATGGGGAAAAAACAACTTTTCGTAGAGATGGTATAGTATTCTTAAAAGTAAATATTTTTCTATCGGAGAACTCTGCTTATCTGCAGACGATTCCCAGTAATAATATCCAATTGTTTATTTAACCATTTTTTCATCGCAACTATAATTTATAGGTCCGCCAAAGACCCACAAAAAAACGAAAAATGCAAAAGGGGGACCAATACAAAATCATTAGTTTTAAAAAATGGTTAAATAAATAATTGAGTATTATTACTAAAAGACTCCTAAAGAGAACCAGAGTTTTTTGATCGAAAAATATTGATTTTCAAGAATTCTATACGATTTCTAAGAAATTTTTTTTTCTCATATAAAAACACATGGAAAGCTTTGAGCGCTTTGAGCGACCTCCAAATATTTTTTGATTTCAAAATAAAAAATAGGGGTATACTTTTGTTCGATATAGAACAATCATAGGAGGTGAGAGCATTACAATTCCGACTTTACTGTTTTTGGACCACCCTAATGTACATACTTATCTATATTTGTATATTTTCTCAAAGTACTCGATTAATACAAACCGTTCTTGCATTCACGTCTGCCTTGTATGTGCCCGCTATTAGTTTAACGACGTCCTGGTTCCCATGTTTGGCAGCCCAGTGCAATGCGGTCTAAAATCCAAAAAA